TCCCCCCCCTGCGCCGCCGTCTGGCCCAGCCGCGACGGCGAGCTTGCCGGCGCCTCCGCCTGGCCCAGCCAAAGCGGAGGCCGAACCTGCGCAGAAGGACAAGATGGCGGTTGACTCGGGCGTCGTACTGCATCACGCGCTGCGCCTCGTGAGGTTGTCGAGTCTTCCCCCGCCAAGCAATGTTCTTCTGATGAGGGGGAGGCGCCCGCTGATAAGGCACCGCCGCAAGTCGCAGCGCCAAGCGAGCAACGCACGGCGGAACCCCGTTCTGTGGATCGAACCCCGGGTGTCCCAGACATACCGGTGTCACTCGAGGCTAGCCCAGATCTTGCTCAATTCAATGACTACCCATATGAGGCGGATCCTGAGCTCATTCTTACTGGGGAAGAGCACTATCGATCTGGCCCGACCTCGGCCAATTCTTCGGCAGAGAAAGGTTGCCACCTGCCCCTGAAAAGCGCCGGCGTAAACCGACGGACGCTGCGCCCCAAGAGGATGAACAGGAGATGCATGTCGGGCACGCTGATCGCTTTAGGGGTAAAGAGCTATATACTTCGCAAGAAGAACGCGCTCGAGTTATTTATTCAACGAACGCCCCCCGATCTAAGGCGGAGGGTTCGAGAGGCCCACGCTACTGGGCCAGTGCTCCCGCGGATCGAGGCCATTCGCAACAAGTCGACTAGCGCGCTCAAATACGTCGCAGAATTCGTTGAAGACCCCATATTTGCACTATTGAGCGAACTTTCCATGGACGAGAGCACATGATCAGGTGCGAGAAGTTCTTCGTGCGGAGTTTTACCCCGATGATATTCCAGTCGGATTTGACCCCCAATCTTTTAAAGTATGGACGCCATTGTTCGTTGGGACCACCGACTGCAATAATCCAGCTGCCCTCGGAGATATGGATTTTTGGCGACCACAAAGCTATCGAGTAGATGATTTTGCTCGGCATGTTGGTAACTGCGCGATATTTATTGCGAGACATTGTTCCGATCATGCAAGGTCCTCGGGAGGCTGGGTCTATTTTGGAGACCTGGTTGAAAAACTGGCCGAGGATGGATTTGGATATCAAACATATGCACTGGCTGCACACGGCCTAGCCGCGCTGCAGCCAGGGACAGTAGAGGTCCTCGGCGTGCTCCATGACAACAACGCCAACATCAAGGAGACAACTGCTTACAAAAAAGTGGCATGAATATATAGAATGGCCCTCTCAAGGGGCAGAGAGAACTACCTCTCCTATTTCAGTCTTCTGTCGAGCATGCCAGGGACATTCCATTTTTGCTGCTTCAATTGAAGAGATGCATGTGCCATGCGACCCTGGCCCAGCCAGGTGTCACGGGCCCCTCCTCCATATCACTGATATGGATACCTTGGTGGAATCCATGGCCGGAGAAGTGAAGTTCCCAAACAGAGAATCAGGGCTCTGCCTTGAGGCAGACTACGATTTGCTAAGGTTTCTCCCGACCAAGAAGGATCCAAATATGCGGGGGCAGGACCATCTTCCTTCGTGGCTAAGCCAGCGGAGTTATGGCGCGCCTGCTCCACCGTCGTTCCGAGCATGGCCCGCAGTGGACACAGTCCTCCTGTGGGACCAGCTTCCGAATCATAGAGAATCCTGGCCATTAATTCTTGTTTTCAATGGCCGTGTGCCCACCCGTTTCTCATACCGGATCTGTCAGGACGGGGTTCTTGTGTCCCGTGAGGTGCCAAGGTTCCACAGATATCGACAAAGCCGTCACCCTGGCTAAAGTCGGCGACTGGATTGATCGAGATGAAAAGCGAATGATTTGGTCAGTGGTCTTCAACCAAGAGTGGACATCGTACGAGGTAACTTTTGATAACGCCTCGATGCCCGTATGGATTCACACTGACGAGATTTTAGCCTTGATCCCAGATCATAGGCCCCCGCCGCCCGATAGGGCAGAAGAATTTCTCCAGTCTGTCCCTTGGGAGGATGACGGTCAGTTCTTCTGCGCCAATTTGCACTGGGTGAGAACCGGCTTTGGACGTTGCCCCTCTTGCAATAATCTGATCACGTGCAAGTACAAGGTCGCGCATGATTATGTGCTTCAACCGTACAGACATAAGATCATTCGAAACTCGCTTGAGAGCAATGGCATTATGTTGTATGTTGACAACTTTCACACGCTCCCTGGCAAGCGCGACATGTATGTTAGCGCGCGAGTAAACAAACAGACAAAGGAGAGCTTCAGCGGACGTGATAAACAACATTAGCAATGTTCTGAAGCTCGAGCGCAAGTGGGCAGTGAATGACCAGTATATTAACTTGGCTGCTTCGGGTCAAACCTCCGGAAATAGCCGCCCGGGTAGTGTTCCTGCCTGGATCCCTGAACACGCCGCGGCCCAGCCGCCGGCGCGTCAAGGCCCTTTCTTTAATTTTTCGAACCTCTGAAGAGGCGATTTATCAAATGGCTCGCACATTTGGCTGAGAGAGAAAGCACTCCAGCTCCGACGATTGCGGAGTGGTGGCCCTTCCTTTGGGCAACAGAAATTGACCAATATGCGCGTCCCACGTCTTGCCCTGCTCTGGCTGCCTTTGATTGGCAAAAGGAATTAGACTCATATCATGAACCTCCTGAAGGTTGGATTGCATGGGAACGCAGGATGAATATTGAGAATATTCGTGCCAACGCTTCGGACATTGCGCGAAGCAAGAGAGGGCACAGCACCATGGCTGCCCGTCGCCCAGGACAACGCTAACGACGCCACAGGGCCCAGCCCTCGTGGCCGTCCCCCGGTTGCTTGGGCTAATAGTTTTGCGGCCCGTCCTCGTCGCGCTTCCCAGTCCGTCAACGGGCGCAATGAGATCTGTTCTGACCACCGTCTCGTTTCGGTGCGCAAGTGTGACAAACCTGACGCCGGTCAAACCGTGACGGCAGGTGAGGAGAACATAGACATGAACTTTAATTTTACCGCAGTCTGCGGGTCCCAGACCGAGCAGATACTTGACGGGAGGATCAATATTGATCAACCTGATGGGTATGTATATTCTCATTGCGATGATCGATCGTTGAGCATCACGTTGACCGAGGACGGAGCAATGGACGTGGCCGCTCAGTATGTTATGGAGCACACCAGCTATCGCCCGGACATGGATGAACCTGAAAGGTTGCGATTGTCGGGCGAAGTAACGCACGACGTCCCAGACGAAGTGCGGGTTCTCATTGAACGGAACTGGAAGGTCCCCGCTCAAGAGCTGGAGTTGGGTCTCCGCATAACTCGCGTTGTTGTGATTGTTCGCGACTTCATTAGTCGTTTCATCGCCGATGGGATATTTCGTTACATACCCTGCGGCCAAATTCCTCGCCCGTGGCACCGGCGCATCTTATGATGACGAAAAGCGCCGAACGGATGCATACGCCCTTGATTGTCGCATTCGTCAAGCAATCGAGACGGACGACCTCATTGAGGAATGGACCCATGGTTTGGGCAAACAGGGCCGCGCCGAAATCCGTCGCCAGGGCATGAAGTTGCAAAGAGCTGTATATTGGTTATTTCCCTGCGTGGAAGCTACTGAGCTCCAAGACGTAGATGAAGGCCCCTTTCGCAGTGCTTGCAGCAACTTTGGTATTTTTGTTGCTATTGCCGCACGAGACATTATTAGATATGCGAGAAGGCGAGCCGCCAGTCTTCGTGAGAGCGGAGGCGCCAATGGGCCATCCGACGGCCAAGCCGATACGGAGGGGCCTGCTTTGGCGAGAGCGAGGCCCAGCACAGCTGGTCGCCCCAATCCGCCACCTCCACCACGCAGACCCCACGTCCAAGACGATCGGGCCAATGATGATGTCACAGAATCTCCGCGCTCTGCCGGCGGTCAAACCGCTGCGGCAGGAGATGATTACTCATGGTACTCTTCCAACTGGGACACATGGGATTGGTCAGCGCCCGCGCCCGCGCGCGGCGGAGCCATGGCTGCCGATCGCGCTGCCTATTATGGCCCCACTGAGGGCTACGACGCTGGCGTCCATGACCAGAAGTTCGAGGGGAACGAGCTGGTTAGGTACTGGGTTCATCGTGACCAGATAAGCTGGATGCGTCCTAGAGACTGCAACTCAAGAACGTGGCATTTGGTATACTTGAACGACTACAACTACTACTTTCCGCACAGAGGAAAGGGTTCGAAGAGTAAGAACAAGGACAAGCACTCCAGGTCAGCGCCTTACGCTGGCCGTGGCAAGGGATACAGATCTCGTTCGCCCTATTGGGCCACGCATCAGACGGGAGGCCCGTCATCTTCAAATCCGAGACCCCCGTCGCCGCCATCTGGGCGATTTCTTTAGAAGAAGACGTGAGAGAAGGCTGAGCCCGCGCGACAAAGTCGCTGCGGGCGCCACCGAGCGACTAAGTCACTTCGGCGGAAAGAATATATATATATATATATATATATACACACATATATATGTATATATATATATATATATATATATATATATATAGGTGGGCATCGTCGGGCTTCTTCGGCCCTCATATCCCTGGCACCACCGCTGAGCCGTAAAAGTTCTTTTGGGGTTGGCTCCGGTGGCTGTATATTATGTGGAGGCCAGGCGAACTGTGGCTGGATGGGCCCTACGAAGCCCGCCGCGGGGGGATTAAATATGCTCCTCTCCGCCTCATCTTGCACTTGCCTCTCTCACTGCCTGCCTTGCCTTGCACTGTCTAACTGCTAGCGCGGTACCTACCGCAGCCGTTCTTGCTCACAGGAGTAAAAAAGGAGCGCGCTAGCCCTCGGCCGTCGCGCGTCGTCGGTCGTCGGCTGGCCGGCCTCCTCCCTTTCCATTCCTGGGGGCAGTTGCCTAACGGTACACATCTCTTATCATTGATGTCTCATCCCGTATCCTCTACCATTGAGCAGAGTCATCACGAGACCTTAATTCCTTTGTCATCTTACCACGATTCTCAGAGGAAAGACTTTTTTGGGTGGCGGGCGGCTTCTGGGCATACCACGTATCATTAGGGTAGCGATGTATTGTGAGAAGCTTGTGCTATATAGTCGTATCGGACGTGCGGCTCCACAGGGGGCGCATAGTATTTGCAAGTCCTTCTTTATCCCCGTAACGCCACAGTCTTGGTGACCCCAGAGGGGCCTGCGGATTTGGAGATGTTCGAGTATGGAACTACCACAGGGAACAGCCCGGTGCCACTGGCGAGCTTCTCGACGGAGTCGATCCCGGCGGGGATCCCTGGCAGGACTTCCCGCAGGTTCCAGGCTTCCTAAATGGGATCCGAGGGGGTTGGCGTCGGAGGATCGCGCCGCATTCGCTGATGCATCAGCGATGCGGCCTGATGTGGAGCCCGATTTTCTCCACGACGACGGCGCCGATGACTAGCCGACGTCACCCATGCATCGGCTATGCGGCGCAATCCTCCGACTCCATTTGTTCGGACCCCGATTTGGAGGCCGCCACAGGTACACTTCCAGTTCAGGGGGGATGTTTGGGATCAAGGCGACCTCGCGGATGTTCGGCCACGGCTGCGACAACCCGACGGACCCGAACAATCTGAGCAACGTCACCTGTCCCGACGAGACGGCTGTCCCGGTGGACCAGGCGAAGCGGTGTTTCATGGCCGAGTTTTCCAACGTGAGCCAGTTCGAGATCGGGTTCAGGATCATCACTTGCTCTCGGTCGGCTCTGTGATATCTTATGTTCTCGGCGGTTTTCTGTTACCCATGGGTTCTGGAGGTTCTGAGCATTATGTTCTCGGGCGTTGGATGCACGCAGGTGCTCCTGGAGGCCTCCGGAGACGTCCAGGGGCCGTCGGTCGTCGTTGTTGACTGACTCTGGGATCCTCCTCCTCCTCCTCCTCCTCCTCCTCCTCCTCCTCCTCCTCCTCCTCCTCCTCCTGCTTGCCGAACTAGTGCAACGTCGTGTGAACCAGAGAGCGGCCCAGGGCTTTGGGTCTTCTCCCGCCGCACTTCTCGAGCGGGCTCGCGCCGTGGGGGGGGCCCCGGGTCCGGGGCAGGGCAGCTTCTCCCGCTGCGGAGCATTACCGTCGGGGCCCCGAAGGGGCTTGATTGGAGCATGGCCCCTTGAGGAGGAGGAGGAGGAGGAGGAGGAGGAGGAGGAGGAGGAGGAGGAGGAGGAGGAGGAGGAGGAGGAGTCCCCCTCCCTGTTATGGCGAAGTCTGGAGTATCCACGGGAACGGGTCGAGAGAACGGGCTTGATTGTACACGTAAAATTATATCGGAGGCCCAGAGGTTACCACCAACACCAAGATCGGCGGTGTGCCTTCGCCGAGGGGTGATGCTCCCGATCTTGGTGATGGTGGCAATATTCTGGCTTCCGAGGTGGCCGAAATATGACCACCAGCGCCGAAATCTGCGATCGTCTTCCCCCCGTGGAGGCAACCCCCTGTGTTGGTGTTGGTGCCAATTTCCAGGCCTCCAAGTATAGCAAAAACCTTGAGTTGGGTGGGCATGGCGCTCGTCGTCCTCCTCCTCCTCCTCCTCCTCCGCCTCCTCCTCCTCCTCCTCCTCCTCCTCCTCCCCTCCTCCTCCTCCTCCTCCCCTCCATCCCCCTCCCTCCCCCTCCTCCTCTCCTCCTCCTCTCCTCCTCCTCCTCCTCCTCCTCCTCCTCCTCCTCCTCCTCCCCCTCCTCCTCCTCCTCCTCCTCCCCTCCCGCTGGCGATTTGCAGATTTGGTGCTCGCGCTGTCGGCGCTCTGCTCTCCCAGGGCTCTGCCAGCGTCGTCCGCACCTCCTGCCTCGGCGCGTCCGCGCTCCGCAGCTGCCCGCCACGCCCTCCCAGGCCGGCGGGCCTGGACCCACGACAAGGAGGAGGAGGAGAAGGAGGAGGAGGAGGAGGAGGAGGAGGAGGAGGAGGAGGGAGGAGGAGGAGGAGGCGGAGGAGGAGGAGGAGGAGGAGGAGGAGGAGGAGGAGGAGGAGGAGGGAGGAGGGAGGCGCCGCGGTGCGGGCTCCTCCCCGCTGCTGTTGCTCCTGCCCGCCTTCCTCGCCCCCCCCCACGGGGGCTCACCCGCAGCCCCAGCCCGCGGGGCACACACATCACGGCCCGCCGCGCGGACCCGCCCGCCCGAAAACGAAGCCCTTTGTCGTTGGGGAGGGGCTCGGTGTTCCTCGACTGTTCTGCGGTCTGCCCTCGGTCTTCCGGAGCTTTCCCGCGGGAGATCGAAGTTCGATCTGTGGGCGAAAGGGGCCTCGCTCCGTATTGCGGAGGCCCTGCGGCCGGTGCCGCCGACCCTGGGGGGCGACCCGTGCGTTCCCTGATGTGGCGGGGGGGGCCTCTTGGGGGTATCTTTGGGTCTCGTGTTGGGGGGGCTCGTGTTGGGGCCGTTGTTGGCAATCGTGAGGCTTTCTCGGGAGCGTCTTTGGCCGACGCCGACGACGTTGACGGCGGTGGCGATCTGGAGCTATTCTCAAGGGTCTCTCGGGGACTCTCTGGGGCTCTCTCGGGGACTCTCTCGGGGCCTTCTTGGGCCAGTTTGGGGCTTTCTCGTGGGTCTTTTCGACCGTATTGGGGGGGGGGTCTTGGGAGCCTTTGGGGTTGCTTTGGAAGCTACCTTGCCCCGCGCTTTTCAGTAGCTACGTTGCGGTTAAAGGGTGAGCCAACCGAGCCTCAGCTCATGCCGGATGAGCACGCGAAGCTCCTGTGGGCCTCTTGGGGCTTCCTGGGGGCCTCTTGGGGGTCTCGTGGTGGCTTCTTGGGGGCATCTTGGGGCTTCCTGGGAGCCTCTGTCGCCGAGGGCTCGTCGGGCCCCCCGTCTGGGCACCCTGTTGGAGCCGTTTGGGGAGCCTGTGGGGCCATCTTGGAGGCATCTTGGGCGGTCTTGAGGCTCTCTTGGGTCATTTTGGTGCTCTCTTGAGGCCTCCTGGGCTATCTTGGGGCAATCTTGGGGGCATCTGGGGCCGTCTTGGAGCGTCGGCAAGTTGAAACGACAAGAATACCCAAATCTGTCAAAAACTTTGTAGGGAAATCATTGATTTGTCCCTCTTCATGCCCTCTTGGGAGTGCTCTTGGAGACTTCTTGGAGCGTCTTGGCAATCTCTTGGGCCGTCTGGAGGCTACTTTGGAGTCTTCGACCGATGGTTCGGCGATTCGGGGCCCTCTGGAGCCGTCTTGGAAGCCTCTTGGGGCACTCTTGGCCAGTCTGGGGGCTTTTCTAGGTCCCGGGACATCCCGGGGGGGATGCGTATCTGCCCCGCCCCCCCCCCTGGGACCCCCCCCCCCGGCGGGGAAGGGATCAAAGGGAAGGGGCTTCCCTTCGACTCAGCTACGACGTTGCTCAATTTCGCTTTGCCTTCGACTCAGCTACGACGTTGCTCGATTTCGCTTTGGTTTCGCTTTGGCTGGCGCGCATGAGGGGAGGGCGACGACGACGACGACGACGACGACGACGAACGGAAAAGCATCGACGACGACGACGACGACGACGACGACGACGGCGACGACGACGACGACGACGACGACGGCGGCGACGACGACGACGACGTTCACGACGAACGGAAAAGCATCTTCCACACGCCGACAGGGTCGGCGGATTTGGAGTTCCTTAGGGCAGCGCCCCGACTGTAGTGTGGCGAAAGACCCAAGCATATGCAGTGGTCTTGGCATCGCTCGGACGTGTGCCATTTTTCTCGGCGAAAGCCATCGAGGACCATCCTGGACCATCGAGCAAAAAAGACACGCACGGAACCGAAAAATGCACGGGAAATGGACGTCCGAGCGACGGCAAGTGGTGGGTACCGTAGTTGTGAGCATCGTCTTCGGTGAAGCCCCTCGTATGGGGTCGGAAATCGTGTGGATCATGCAGAAATCCCTGAAGACGTGCATTTTCAGCACATGCGCTGTTCGGGTCTCAGCAGCGTCCAAAACAGCCAAGGAGGCCTCGGGCTTCGCCGCAAGACGGCCCAAGAGACCCCCAAGAGAGCCTCTAGCCGACCCGGATGGCCCCAAGAATGTCCAAGGAAGCCCCACATGATGTGGGTCCATCTGCCTATGCCTTGGGCGGAGCTCCCCGTGGAGCCACGAACGGTGTGAGCGGTGTGCCGAAAGGGTGTGGACCTGGCATGCGAGGCCTGGCACTGGGGTATCAGGTGGAGCTCACTATGGAGCCACGGGGCGCGTGAGGGGTGCGCCGAGGTGTCGTGGATCAGGCATACCGACCCAGCCACTGAAGCCTGATGGGACTCCCTACGGCGTCACGAAGTGTGTGAGGGGTGCGCCGAAAGGGTGTGGACCTGGCATGCGGGCCCTGGCACTTGAGGCCTCCTCCTCCTCCGCCTCCTTCTCCTTCCCCTCATCCTACTCCCCCTCCTCCGCCTCCCCCTCCTCCTCCTCCTCCTCCCCCTCCTCCTCCTCCTCCTCCTCCTCCTCCTCCTCCTCCTCCTCCTCCTCCTGGCCGAGGGGGGAAACGGGGCCGCGGGCGCCATGAAGCGTGCGAGGGGTGTGCTGAAAGGGTGCGCAC